AAAGGAAAGGAAAGGAAAGGAAAGGAAAGGAAAGGAAAGGAAAGGAAGAGGGGAAGGGAAGGGAGGAGGGAGGGAAGGGAGGGGAGGGGATGGGAGGGAAGTGAAGGGTAGGAGAGGGGAGGGGAGGGGAGGGAAGGGAAATATTTCTTCATTGCCACAGTGCCAAAACCCAGTATGTGACACATAACGTGTATCAATAATAATTTGTTGAATGAATGAAAGCGTCAGTTTCGACATTGATGTGATAAGCCATTCAATACAGTAAGTCCTCAATTAATGTTATTGTGGATAGGTCCTTGGAAACTAATTTTAAGCAAAACAAAGTATTGTAACCAAGTAGTTTAGCTTCAAAACAAAACATTTTTTCTTTTCTCCTTTCTTATCAGTCTCAAGATGTAACCTTGAAACAAACTGTAGAAACCTTTTCTCTTTAGTCTTAAAATATAGCCTTGAAACATACTTTGAAACTCCACTCCCTTCCATTTCCCACAATGTACTCCCTTACCCAATGCACATTTATCTAACTGTATGCTGCTTAAAAATTCCAGGGGCTAATTTAAAATGAGCTAGGCACAAAGGCCCAGCTGCAGAATTGTCACCCACTTAAAGATTGCCTCAAGGTAGATACTCTGCAGCCTGGCCACAGGCGAGATGACGCCAGCCTGCATTTTAGATGGACCATAACTCAAGATAGGCATTGAAGCAAGACACCACAACCCCTGCTCCTGGCACGACTCTTGCATGTCTCCCATATCGAGCTTCTCTTTTTGAAACCTCTGCCTTCAACCCAGGCTTTTGAAGCAGTTTCCAGAGGTGTGCAAGCTGGCTGTTTCCCCACTGCTAGCTTTGAAAATATAAAGTCACTTTCCTTTCACTGCACTTCATCCTTGTTATTGGGTTGGCAAGGGGCGTGCAGCCAAGTCTGCACTTGGTTACAGTATCACGAAACCAATTTTATCAAGGCTAATTGATAATTTGCTACAAACAAGAGTTAAGTTCCTGTGGTATATTTCTGGTCAAAAAATCACCAAATTTCTAAATCGAGACCAAAACACTTCTAATATTAAACATTTAATTAAGTAAATGAAAGCTATACATGCAACCAAAATGATTAATTAAAAAAAAAAAAAACTCCTTACCCTATTTTTGCTGTACTAGTGAGTTACGACGGTTGTCCTTGTGGTGGGTTAAATCAAGGAATGAATGTCTGCAAAGTGAAGTTCAAAATCATCACAAACATGGTGGCTTGCTGAGCTCTCTAGCACCACCTTGTTTACTGTTTTCCGTCTGTATGACCATCATATGCTTTACACATTTTTATTTTTCAGTCACTTATATTCATTCATTTTCCTACCTACGTGTTCCAATTCGGGGTTGTGGGTAGCAGGAGCCTATCCCAGTGGCTCATGGGACAGGTAGGCCCCACCCAGCTCCTGTCTAGGATGTGATTGCATCACCGAGTGCACACACACACATATCCACACACACACACACACATCCACGCTCACTCAGACTGGGACCATTTAGACACCCTGACTTACCTAATGTGCACATCTTTGGGATGTGGAAGGACACCTGAGGATTCAGAGAAAACCCAGGCAGACATAGGGAGAGCATGCAGACTTCACACAGACAGTGGTCCCTACAGGGAATGGATTTATTTTTTCTCGTCAACGTTATAATGAAACAATGCTGCTATCGAAGGACCTGTTGTCTTCTAATCTCCTCATAGTTTTGCACCCTTAACCTTAGCAACCTCCAGCACCACTCCTCTTTTTTTTTTTCTTTTTTTTTTGAGACGGAGTCTCCCTCTGTCACCCAGGCTGGAGTGCAGTGGCGCTATCTCGGCTCACTGCAAGCTCCGCCTCCCGAGTTCATGCCATTCTCCTGCCTCAGCCTCCCAAGTAGCTGGTACTACAGGCGCCCGTCACCACGCCCGGCTAATTTTTTGTATTTTTAGTAGAGACGGGGTTTCACCGTGTTAGCCAGGATGGTCTCAATTTCCTGACCTCGCAGCACCACTCCTCTTTAGCAACCCAAAGTAATTATAGGATCACTTCACTTCCAAGTTCTAGAACTCTGAACCTTCTTTCTCAGTCCATAAAAGGCTGTCCTTTCACTCTCACGTTCCAGTCCTGAAATAAGCATGCACCCTACCCTGGGCACAATGGCTTATACCTGTAGTCTCAACATTTTGGGAGGCTGAGGCCGTGAGTCACCTGAGGTCAAAAGTTCGAGGTCAGCCTGGCCAACATGGCGAAAACTTGTCTCTACTAAAATTACAAAAAAATTTAACTGGGCATGGTGGTGTGCACCTGTAATCCCACCTATTAGGGAGGCTAAGTCAGGAGAATTGCTTGAACCCGGGAGGCAGAGGTTGCAGCGAGCTA